AACCAACCTCAACACCTCATGATTAAGGGGGCAGTGAATGCCTGGGACAGAGTCCTCGTGGGCACAGGGGAAGTCCTCATGGGGACCATTGTGCCACATTGGCAACCCTGGCCAAATAAATTTTGGCAAAGGAAGGGCTAGGTTAAATGGGTTAAATGGGTGTCACAAGGAAGGAGGTTGTTAAGGCCCTTAAACAGAGTGGCATACTCTACAGGAATCCCCTGCCCCAACCAGGCACCCTCCAGACATTTCAGACTATGATTCCCATCATTCCTGAGCATTGGCCGTGCTGAGTGACACTGATGGGAGTTGTAGTCGAAAACTTCTGGAGGGTGCCAGATTATGGAAGGCTGCCGTATAGACAACTGCCCAAGAATGCTGGTTTGGAGGTACCCTTGATATACATTCCTTCACTGATGGTGACAGCAAACCAAATATCATATGATGGTTACAGATTAAATCCAATGAGACACTGGAGGAGGCTGGCCAGCCACCTGAAACCTTCATGTCCCTTATTCTGGCACCACCAGAAGTCCCTCAGCTAGTTCCTACGCACTCCAGCCAACAATCAAGGAGTTTACTCCAGACTGATGCTGGAATAACTGGGTGGCCTTTCCCTGGGTTTAAGTCACAGCTATGGGATTTTACAGGCCTATTAGATGGCCTCACAAAACAAAAGTAAGGAGAACTCGCCGTGGCTGATCTCAGTACGATTCTCTGACACTTCAGCAATTTGATTGGGCCTCCCAGTTTTCTGTGGCTGGAGGAAACGTTCACAGGGCTTCATCTGGTAGTGATTTGTCATTCACCATGCTTTGGGCTGGCTGCCAGGGTCAGCTGTTGCCAAGTTAAAGGAAGGACAAGGGAATAAAGTGATTTCTTCAAGTAAAAAAAAAAGGCTATAGAAAATGAAATAAACTAGAAGATCTTAAAGCACAGCCTAGGGTATAATACAATTAACAGCAAAAGAGTTTGGAGGAGGGAGTGGGCAGCTTATAGGACTCTCTCCCTTGTTCTAAGAAGTTGGATATTTGACTATTATTCCTTAAAATATGTGTAATCAATTGGACCACCAGGAATTAATTGCCTGTGATGGTCTTGCTGTGCTACAGCTGCATATGGGATAGAGACTCTTGCTTATCCTATACGTATGTTATTTGCGGTATAGTTAGTTATAATGAACTTTGATGCAGTGGAAGCACCCCCTGCCCAGCCCCAACCAGGTTTGTGGGCTTACCATGAAAGGCACCAAATAAATATATGAAAAATGACACTCCTGCAGGTATATATTTTTCTTTTCTTTAATTTGCCAGAATCTTAAAAAAAAACAACCCACCAAAAGCGGTTGATGTTAGTCATTTCAGTACAAGCATGGGAGGAAGAGGAGAAGAGTTATAAAAAATGATGCAGCAGATAGTTCAACCTTTCCCAACCTGGTGCCCTTCAGAAGTTTTGGACCACGATTCCCATCAGCCCCTGCCAGTACAGCTGTGCTAGCTGGAGCTGATGCAAGTTGTGGTCCAAAATACCTGGAGGATACCAAATACAGGAGGTTGAGCTAGAATATAAACCATACAAGCAATGGTTAAGAAACTGATTGTGCATAGGTGAAAAAGAAGGAGAGTGAGGTCTTCAAATAACTACAGGGCTGCTGTTTCTGGTTGACAGCACAAGAAGGAAGTACAGAAGAAGAGAAAGGACCCTTTCCTACTTTTTAAATGGGTAAGTTTGTCATACACAGTCTATAGCTGCTGGTGGTACCTATCTGATATGATGCTCTTCCAGAAGATTGGCTGACAAGAAAAGATAGGAAGACAGTGCTGGCTCAGAGGTCCATCAGTTGGGTCTGCCAATCTTTTTCAAAAATTACAGTGTTGACACAACACTGTAAACAAGATAGTAATCAGTTTCTCTAAAGGTAGGAGTGCAGCCACCCTGATCTAGCTTGAAATAATGGAGGTTCCTTTTGATTACAGCCGATGGTTCTTAGAGTGGAGTCAGGCCACAGGCTCTGTTTGAAATCCATGTGCATGCTCCTTAGTTCAGAGAAAAGATAAGTAAGAGAAGACACGCGATAGGTGTGTAAATTTAAAGCATAGCAGCAATAGGGGTATACTGAACAAGGACTGGCAAAGCAGATAAAGCAATTCCCCACAAGAACATCTGAGCGATGTTTAAAGGAGAAAGGGAGAGGACGATTGCTTCAAAGATGGATTTGGCAAAGGGCTTTAAGAAAGGCTCCATGCTCCTGTTTCAGCCTCAAACAGGAGTGTGAGAGCTATCTTAAGGCCCTTTGCAAACAACAAAAGGGCCTTGAAGTTGTTGTGGATTTGAGCTCGTCTAAAGGAGATGTGCTACGTCAAAGACTGCTTTCGCAAAGAGTTTTAATCTATACTCAGTTTACTGATGACCGGTGATTAAATCCTGCTGCTTGCCTGTATGGTTCTATTGACTGCTGAGAACAAGATGCAGACAGTGCAGGATTAAACCATGTCATCCTGCCCATCAACTGACATCACCAGTGTGTGATGGACTGCCTGGTGGGCCTATATTAGTCTACAGGTTGGAGCTTCCCCATGCCCAGTTTATGAGGTAACAAAGCAACCCTCTGAATTGTTTCTAGAAACAAGTTGAGAACCAGTGCATGCATTCCAGGGTGGGTGTAATAAGAAGCCATGGGTGAACACCCTTGTTGCCACATTCTGGGCCATCTGAAGTTTTTGAAGACTCTTCAAAGGTAGCCCCGTGAAGAGCACATCACAGCAATCCAGTCTAGATGTAACTATTTGAGGATTAGAGTTCACCTTTGGTGGACATGCCCAAGGATTAAGACACTTTGGGAGATGATTCATAACGAAATGAAAAAGGTACTTAAATATACCCTTTTGAAGAAACCAGAGGCCTTTCTCCTGGGCATGGTCGGCCAATTGGTGTTAAAGAAGGATAGAATTTTTTTCACGTATGCAACAATAGCAGCAAGAATACTCATTGTGAAGTACTAGAAGACACAAGATTTATCTATTCAGGAAGAATGGCAGATGAAGTTGATGGACTATATGGAATTGGCGGAAACGACTGGCAGAAATCCGAGACCAGGAAGAAGAGTCGGTGGAAGAAGACTGGAAAAAGTTTAAGACTATTTATAGAAATACTGTAAAAATAATGAATGTTAGAAAAATGTTGGAATGAAGTTATATGGCTTTAGTAGAAATGCTATAAGGAATGAAGTATAAATAGATTAATAGTGTATTAAAGGGAAAAATAAGGTTAGAATATGTTAAGATAATTATAGGATAGAAAACAGAGGAAGATGGAAAGGAATTGCTGAAACAATTAACAGAAGTGGAATACAAAAAGGGAGGTGTGAGGAGGTCGTGGAAATAAGGGAATGAAAGATAAGATATTGAAATTGTTTTGTGTTTTAAATGGTTTGTGTCTCGTTTTGTTAGTCTTATGTTTTTTTGGTTTTTTTTGGTTTTTCTGTTTTGTTGTGTTTAAACGGTTGGAAAATTAATAAATATTATTATTATTATTATTATTTAAAAATAGATGTAACTAGGGCTTGTCACCAAGGCGTAATAATACAACACCTGAGAAGAGTGTTTTCAGGACCCCCCTACTCCTGTGACTGTTGTTTGCTTTCTCTGTTTTTAACATTGAATATGGAACAGTTGTAAGCTGCTGGTGAAGGACGGGCAAATAATAATAGCAATAACTGTGTTACCTGATGATTTCCTAGCTTTCCTTTTTTGCTGTTACTTTCTTCCCCCATCTTATGCCCAGCCTTTCTTGTGACATCCCTTTCTTCTGCCCCTTTCTTTTCACAACCGCGTGTCTTTTCCTCCTTCTCTTCTCTTTGTAGCCCTTTCCCTCCCCTGCACCCGCTTTCTTCTCCAACTGAAAAATGTGCGCGGCTTCTGCCTGCGTCCCCGCTGTGCCAAATTGATACTTCAGCTGCACAGTGCCTTCCATCGGCACATATTGCTTCTGATTTTGTTCCCTGCCTTAATGGAACAAGGGGCAGCTTTCTGATGCGCGCTGTCAGTCACTGGAGGACTGACAGCCTGGCATTTGTTTGCGACAGGAAACCGAGCTGCTGCTCCTACCTGATTTGCAAGGTTTTATCGTGCAGCTAATTTTATTATTATTATTTATTGCCAACGATCATAATGAGAATAAAGAGCTTAAGTCTTTCTTTGCAAAGTCACCATACTGTGATGGAATATTGTTTTGATCAGGTGGGCAGCAAAATGTTGCTGCTGATTAACAATATAGTGGGGTGATCGCTACGGCGCCTCCCTTTTCCCTGCCACTTGCAAAAGGATGTCTGTAGGAAGTCTGGACTGATAATTGCTACCTACAGACTTTTCAAAGTCACATGAGCAGGCAATTTAAAACATTTCTTCAAAGGTGTTGTCTAGTGGGGCGCACAAGGGATGCAAAGTCAGCAACCATTGTGTTTAATCCCTGCTTTGACACCACTTTCTTTTGTGGTATTCCAGCAGGGTGTTGTAAGGATTAATTACACAGTGTTAGTTAAATGCATCGAGAGTCTTACACCTTTTTGTTACTTGTCTAAGGGTGGTGGTGGTGGGGAACCCCTCTATCAAAATCCATTTCTGTTAGGAAAAGAAAATCCCAGTGCTCCCTCCAGCATGTCTTCCCAAGCAGATTACACCAGTGACGTGTGGTTTCATGTCAACTGGCTTCTGTTGCATGTTGTGCCAAATAAAACAGTGATCGACATGTTCTCATGTAGCTGGTTCTGACACGTTCCTCCAGCTGGGTGCATTTTGAAAAGGTACAGTAAGAAAAACATGTACTTTTCAACCTGCGTCTACTCCCCTCCCCCCACCTTGTATTTATTTTTACATTTGCTTCCACTTTTCCTCCAAGGAGCTCAAGGTTCTCTGCCTCTCCATTTTATCCTCACAGCAACCCTAAAAGGTAGGTTAGCCTAAAAGCCATTGATTGGTCCAAGGCCAACCACTTAGTAAGTCTGCTGGGCAGGGATTTGAACCCTGGTTTCCCAGGTCTTAGTCCGACATGCTAACCATTACACCATGCATTTACTCAAGATGTGTAGCAGCTATCCAGTGATGGCAGGGACTAACAGATCGTTAATGGAAGTGGATCCCGTGAGGCCTTATAGTTGCAAAGAGACTCGTAATTCGAGACTGGAAGGATAAACACCCATCCATTACTCGATAGACCAAAGATTTTAATCTCCTTTCTACATTGCCATGTAATCGTTAATCACTTTTGGATATCTGTTTGGACCTGGTTATATTAATACATGTTTCAATTAGCGCTGATGGATTATTCTTATCATTAATGTGAGCTGATGGCGCTTCCTTTTTCTTTCCGTCATATTTACAATAAAAATATACATTTTAAAATAGAAGTATAGTAGCTGTGAAAGAAATAAGGTGGATTGGTGCAAACATTTGCAATCTGCAGAGGTGGGAAGTAAAGAAGCTGGGGAGATTCCCAGCTTCATCACTTACAAATTTACCTCAGGCCCTTACCTAAAATAGCTTCAACGAAATCACCTTCATGTCAATGCCAGTAATAAGCATCCTGAACAAATTAAAACCGTGTCTGGGGTTGAAATTATAGTGATATTACTGCCTGATATTTGGCCAACAAGCAGCGTTCAGTCTTACATTTTCTACATGGGGAACGCAATTAACATATGGGTGCATGATTTATTTCTTTATGCAAATTTAGGTCTTTCAGGTGACTGCCAGGTGGCCTTTAAAATACATTCAAAGCCTTAGCACTGGAAGGGAGCTCTCCCAAGTGCTCTTACAATGACACGAAAGGCCATGCTTTGTAGCAATAGGGTACCAAGGAAATAGCCTTGAAGTATGGAATAAATGTGTTTAATCATATAAGAATGAGACTGTTAGAAAAAGAATTGAACCCTAGGTGAAAAAAGGCAGTACTTTCAGTAAGTGGCTGGAGTAATGCAGTAATTGGGTGTAGTAATGATGGCTAGCAGTAAAATTGGATGCAAAAAATAGTTTTGCTAATATGGGAGCTAGGGGTGGGGGAGAAATTCGATTTATTTCACATAGGAAGGTGAACATACCTAATTACTTTGTTGTAGATCTCTCAGTATTAGTAATGCTGATTGTATCACAAGGAAAAAGGAAATATTGTTTGATGACCTGAATTTCTTAATCTGAAAGAGAAACATTTTCTTTTTCTTTTGCAGTGGAATCTTAAATACGTGTTCTCTTAAATATGAGTTCTGTATTACTTACTCTCATGTAAGCATTCGCAGGACTTGTTTGCATCCGTCTGTCTTGTGACAATTGGAGAGTCTGGGTTGCTTCATGTGCTAAGATGTAGTCCTTAATGTATTGGGGTCCTAAGCTGCATAAGGCTTTATAGGTCAAAACCAGCACTTTGAATTGAGCCTAGAAACTATTTGGTAGCAATACCAGAATTTGGTGTTATATGTTTGGACAGTCGTGCCCCAATCAACAATTTGGCTGTCAAAATCTGCACAAGCCACCGTTTCTGAACAGTCTTCAAAGGGAGTTCCACCTATATAAGAAATTGAAGGAATCCAATCTAGTGGTTACCAGAGCATAAACGACAAAAGTTAGGCTGTCCTTGACTAGACAGGTGTGCAGCTGGGCCACTAGCTACCTTAAAAAAAAAGCTTATCCAACAGGAGAACATTGAAGCAGATCCAAGCACCTATTCTGTAAAAATGCATTTATAAAACGTCTTCTTATTACTTACTCCTTTACAATTTTATACATGTCTACTCAGAAGTAAGCACCCCTAAGGTCAATGGGATTTGCCAGTAAAGATGGCAGCCTTAATGACTAAGCAGCTGCAACAATGGTCTTTCCTCTATTTCTTTGTCCTGCTAAAACTAGGACTTACAACTTGCTGGTTCAAGAAGCAAAATAGCAAACTTCGCATAAAACAAATAGACCCCACCCACCCAATAACTCTATTTCTTCCGCTGTTTACTTATGCCATTAGCCCCAGTATGTAATGTGAGAATCAAGGAACAGAGCCTGCTCAACTTTATGAAACCTTTTTAAGCATTCTCATGAAATGCTTAAAAAAAAATAAATGCAGACAAGTAGGAAGTACATAAGAAGCCTTGGAAGATTTTGTAGCCGATAAGGAAAATGCTTAGGATTTTTTTTTAAACCAAAAAACAAAACAAAACAAAATGGGATGCCTTTGCAACCTATTGCCAACATTATTCCTTGCACAAGGGCCCCCTAATTATTTCATCATGCAGTCAGGAAATCCTGGTAGGTCATATATAAACAGCCCGAGGCAGGGACCTCTTCATCAGATAGAGCATGACATCTGACATCTGTGCAGCCTGCCGCTCGCATGCCACAATTAGCCTAACTAGGAAGCTCAAACATTAACTAATGCAAAAGCAACTGGGAGCACAAGGAGAGTTTAGATGGCAAAGGTCCTTCCTAATCCAAGATTAAAATTGCAGCCGAGTGCTGCTGCTGGTCATCCAACCAGGACACTTGGCTCGGTTCAAAGCTTCTTGAAGTATTAGGTTCCATCTCTCCCCCTTTCCTAATTGCAGTCTAAAAAGGGACGATGCCCCAAAGTCTAATAGGAACTTCATGTAGCATATTGGTGCCATTTCAGACCTGGAGAATTTGAAAGCGAACTTGATGATGGAGATCCTTCTCTTGGTGGTATCAGGTGGGTCCAGATTCTTCAGTGGAAGAGCACCTGACAGTGCAGCGAACAGAGTCCTGGGTTCAAATTTCTGCTCTGCTATCAAGTTCACTGAGTGGCCTTGGAAAGACACCATCTTCAACATAACCCACCTCCCAAGGTTACTGTAAGGCAAGCGTGCAAGCCACCTTGACACAAATGTAACAGGAGCAGACTTTCAAATATTTGGTATAAGAAATCTCAGGATGTAGAATGATTTTTGATCATGGTTAAAATGAAAATTAAATACCTCTGGAAAAAACCCCTCTTCAAATTGCAAAATGCCAAGTCCTGCAGACTTCGGAATATTTTAGGAGGAGCAGGAGCAATGGGCCAGGGCCAGGTGTAGAACAGAAACACATACAATAGGGCAGAGGAAGGTATGTTGAGAATACAGCCAAGCCTAAAGAGGTGGGAATGGTGCAGAGAACACGAAATCCTTCTCACAAACTTACTATTCTTTCTGAGTGAGCTCGCACATCGCTTTTCTTACTGACCTTGAGGACTTAGAACCATGCCTTTTAAAATGAGAATCGAGATTTTGAGGCTTCTGTTTATATTGCTGGATTTTGCATAAAGCAGGAAAGATAGGACCGGCTGTTTTATTGCTCAGTTTAACCCTTTGTTCAAACCAGTTACTTGTTTTGTCTCTGAATTGCTTCAATACCAGTTGCTGGAGGCAGGGCTGAAACTAGGCTTTATTTCACCCGAATCAAAGACCCCGTTTGGCACCCCCACATGTGTATTTGTGTACACACACACAGAGAGAGAGAGAGAGAGAGAGAGAGAGAGAGAGAGAGAGAGAGGCTGGGAGCCTCAATGGCTTCCCCTCTGGAGGCTTCACCCAGGGCAAAATACCTGGCTAGCCCCTCCATAGCTGGCTGAAGGAGCGAGGCAAAACTAGTGAACCTCCTGGCTATGCAAATCTCCTTGCTGCCTCCCTCCTCTCCTTCTCATTAAGCAGCATCAGTAACACAGCACTGTGGCCTCATCTTGCCATTCACTGCTGATACAGGGAGAGAAGCACTCTTGATATTTAGGTCTCAAATCATTCAGGGTTTTATATGTCATCTGTGAAACCCTGAATTCATCCGGGACATATATTGGCAACTAGTGCAGAGCTTTGAGACATGAAGTAACATGACTCCGCCTCAGTCAAAAGGTGGGCCATCACATTTTGCACCAGCTTCAGTTTCTGAGTCTTCTTCACATGGAGCACATTATAATGCCACAGATAGGAGAATGTCATCAGTGAATTGATCATTGTGACTAAACTTTCATAGTACAGTGGTACCTCAGGTTAAGTACTTAATTCGTTCCAAAGGTCTGTTCTTAACCTGAAGCACCACTTTAGCTAATGGGGCCTCTTGCTGCTGCCACGCCGCCAGAGCACAATTTCTGTTCTCATCCTGAAGCAAAGTTCTTAACCCGAGGTACTATTTCTGGGTTAGCAGAGTCTGTAACCTGAAGCATATGTAACCTGAAGTGTATGTAACCCGAGGTACCACTGTAAAAGCTTGCAAAACTTTTAAAAGACCCATTATTTCAATAGTGATTCCCCCCCCCCCCGGCCAAATACATACATATGGAGAGCATATTCAAGTATTAGATTCCAATTCATGCTCATTCATGACAGGTCCTCATATTGCTAACATGACTGCACTTATTGGTTATGTTGCATGGTCTTCCACATCCCAACCACTGAATAGTTTTGTGAGTCACTGCCTCTTCCAGTTGAAATTCAGCTCTAAACACAGGATTCTGTGATCAGAATTGCACCCTGCAAGGTTTACAAATGCCCATATATTTACTTGTGCTATTTACCGTGCTTTGTCTAAAGATGGGAGGGACCAGGAGTTAAGCACATAACTAATACTCCATGGCCAGTGGAAACCTCTCTCAGTCACACTTCCATGATTTATTAGGCACTGTCATACAATTTCAAACCTATCCCCATAGTCATAAAGATTGCCCCTAAGGAGGAAAAATGAAACCAGAGAGTCTCAGGTTGTTGGATTCTGTTACTTGCCAAAGCCAAGCAGATTCTGTCTGCGCTTGCAGCTCTGACAAAAGTATCTCAGCTTATCAAATTGCTTACATTATGAGAAATGATTTCACATTCAAATGAGATCGAGCTAAATGGAAGGGATCCGAATCCTAGCTGAGCTTATTCAGTTCAGCCTTGCAAAATCTGTAACTAGAAACTCCCCAAAGTCTATCACTCAGATTCCCAGGGATTTCTGCAGACTCAAAGCAGCCATCTTGAGAAAGCAGATCGGTTTCATTTGTGTAACCCTTTGTATATCATACCGATGAACACAATGCATTTTTTTAAAGGACTTTGCCCT